AGAAGAAGAAGAGAGATTAGCCTTTTCGAAATATATCAATGATAATTTGTATCATTATTTAGATCCAAGATTAGCTCGTCTTATCATGAATTCCTATATGTGGCTGTATAAAGATGCCTACTCTTAATCACACAGACCTATATACACACATAGACAAAACTTAAGGAAGCTGTACCTTATAGCATGTATATCGGAACAATAACTCTGAAATATAATTGATACACAGCGACCTTTATTAAAGACACACGAGATAACCAGTGTGAACAAAATTGTCTCTGTCTCCTTAAAAAAAAAAAGAATACCGAGGACATCAAAGACTTACAGTTCCTTAAGTCTTATCTCCATATATGAGTGTTGTATATATAACTATTAGTATAATATTTGAGAGAGTTAATTAGCGTCCATTAAGTCTGAGGATAATAAAACAGACGAACCTCGATCATCCTCTAAACATTATATTTTTCAAACAGAGCAATATCCATTTTTAAAAAATTCTCTTGCCATATTTCCTGAACAAATATGCCATGTCGGGGAGGATTTCGAGCCTCATTAGAGAAGGAGATATTTTGACTTTCCTCATTTAATCAAAAGAATATGGTATTTAGGAAACAATATCATGGTCAGCCTAGTTTGTAAGAGATCCAGAAATGACGGATATAATGTAACCTCCAATTAATACCACCATTTCAATGAAGTCTATGATTTTTTTTAAATTCTGTCTCTCATGGAATACTCTCTATGTCTATATTCGTCTTCTCCCGAGAGTTCTTGACCCTCTCTAGTCTAGCTATTTTATAATTCCAGGGGCAAAATGGTAGATTAATGTGGAAGATTCTAGCGGCGTACTGGCATCCTTTTGTTAAGAGAAGTCAATAGACGAGAGGCTTGTTCGTTACTCTAGGAGAGTGCACCCACCCTCAAGGGCTCCGAGGAGAGACTTCTGATAGAGACGTTGGTGGGCGAGACAATGACGAGCTGAGGTGAGGTCGAAGGTTTGTCCAGCGGCTCGTGGTCCCCGCCAGCCTTGCTGTCATCGTCTTCAGGAATCCCGTGCAAGACCTGCCGGCCTCTAGGCAGCTCCCTACACAGACCGGGGCGGGACATGCTGGGCTGCTATAGCCTTCCAATTCTTACTTAGTACGATGACGTTGTTATGGGAATTTTTAGTTAGCCTCGAGCTTCTGATTTGGATGGATATATTCTCTTAAATGCATTTTGTGTTGGGTTTTGATCGAATGCTTGTTCTGGTGGAGAATATGATTAATATATCGTGATTTTAGACCCAAGGTGGCAAGAAAATTCTTATGATAACTTGAATAAACATTTTAATTTGTGGCTTAATACTTCGCGAGTAATCTTGGTACTCTGATTTTGGACATTTAAAAAGACTCTTTTAAAATGGCAATAAATTCTTTAATAAATATTCATCACCGATTCTTTATCAATGAGTATCTGTGATTAGCACAAGTTTCAAATAAACATCCTATTTTACATTTTCATCTGAGCCGTAATATTCAAGATGATCTGTGTGACCTGCCTGGTTCTCCATCACATCGTCCTATTTCTGTCAGCTTGACGAAGCTTGTATCCTTTTTCCCTAAAACTTTACTGTTTTAAAGAGTTTTCTTAATCATAATGGAGAGGAGGAATCCAAATCTATACTTTCAAATTACTATTTTATTCATTTCTTTGCTAAATCAAAATTACAAAATATCTTTGTTACGTATTATTAGGAATGTTTTCTTCGTATTCAAATGCCTTAAATTTGCGTCATTTTTTATATACCTTTATTGGTAGGAATCAGTTTACTTGTTAAAAACTATGGAATAAAACAAAGTATTAAAAGGTAATATGTTCTAAAACTAAACCGTTTTTATAGAAAATTTTCGACACCTAAGATATGCGTAAAACTAGAGAGAAAATATATAAATAACAAAAATAAGTTAAGCCTAATCTGTACCCTAAACTGTTGCGCAAAGGTGAAATTAAGAGCAAGAAAAAAAAGCAATTTATTTCTCCATTTATATTAATTAAATATCATCAATGTGTTGTTTCAATTACAATTTTTACGATATACAGGTGTTTGGCATCCTTGCCCTAATCTCAATCTTGGAAATATAAGTGCGTTAACAGGACATTTTCCTCATACATCTCGAAGAGATGGATCTAAAATATATTTTTATTTATGTATTCTTATTTTATTTAAAGAGTGCTGTTTTGGCGAGAGTTCTTGGTAGGTATTTGCGCCCATTTTATTTATTTATTTATTTTTATAAATGTGATGTTTTTTATAAGCTTATTATGTTTCTAAAGTTATTATTTCCATATATGAATTTTAAATTTCACACTAGTTATAGAGTTGGAAAATTATATCAACTAATTTCGAATATTTTTTGGAGAAAATATTTTATATTATATAGAAAAAGTTATTTTTATAAAGAATGTGTTTAAATTATATTTATATGAAAAATTAAGACGATTTTTTTAATGATAAATTTCAACATATGACATTTTTATACATAGTTCGATTTTATTTTTAATTTTAGAAATTTATATTTTTACCCTTCATTATTAATGTGACAAATCTAGCTTTAAATATTTTAATGTAATTTTTAGATAAACTAAAAAGTAAAATCAAACAAAATTACCGGTGTTTATAATATGCGTAAGTTGCAAATATAGTTAGTTTGGCATAGACATTTTTGCCCATGCTAGCTTTTACAAGTCTCAAAATTCTCACCAAATTTCATATCGCCGTCTATTTTCAACTTAAGCGCAAAATATTCTAATTTTTAATTATGTTTAATTTTTAGAATATATCGTTATGTTTACATTTTCTATAATGGAACACAAAAAAGAATAGAGCGCAATTCTTTTGGAAAAATAATTCCAGTGTTGCAATAATTTAGCTATCTATAAATTATTTTAAAATTTAAATACAATGTTTTAATAACTTTTTTTGTGCTTAAAATACTTCAATTGAGTGGCTGTTTTAAAAATTTAATTAACATATTTTATTCATTAATATTTTTATAAATATTATTGCTTATTTATTTCTCTTTTTTAAATATATAGTTAAAACACTTTTCGAAATGCTTTCAAGTTAAAAAAGAGCTTAAATTTTATAAAATATTCCGGGGCATATTCTTATTTTTTAATTAATACGTCAAAATATTCTCTCTGTATACATAATTTTTTTGAAAATTGTTTCCTATTATTTCGAGGAAACACCATCTACCCTTGATTTTATATCTTAAAATGAGAATCCATAACAAAATGACATAAAAATGATAAATTAATTGAACGAAAACAACCTATATTGTTATACTTTAATCCTCTATTTTTTTCTTTGTCCCAATTCTAATTTGTACACTATTTTATTTCTTATATATAACACTATAACTGGAGATATATCGCTTATAGTGCGCCTTTAGCTAAGACCTTAGAATATCGTGATGGCAAAGTTTTATTGTATTCACAATTTATTGTGATTATTGTAATCATAGTTACTGTAGTTGAATGAGATGTGTTTTTAATAGTACAGCGCTCTTTGCCTATTATCCCTGGATTACCTGAAGAACCAAAGATACCTGGAGTGCCTCCATTCCCGCCTTTGCCGGAGCTACGTTCTAAAACTGACTGAACTGTAATGTGCTATTCACAGTCTTTAATCATAATAAATATATATTAATGTTATTATGTTTTGTGTTTTTTTTATATTCCCCTTTTCAATCAATATTTACATGCCAAAAACATATTCAATCTGGAAAAAAATAAACCAAAACGTGGATTAAAATGATTTTAAAAAATGATGACGAAAGTATGTAAAAGTATGGCTCCCATCATCAATAAGGATGAATATCAGCTCTAAGATTTGATCTTTTTTTTTCTTAAATTTTAAAATGCCATTTATTGGCCATAATCCTTTTTCTGATAAAATACATTTGAAAAACACTTATATTGATGAATATGGAAGTCCCATTGTAGTTTTATTAAGTAAAAACAGAAATCAAAAGACGATTGACTTAAAGCCAACTTTATGGACCAAATAACTGCTCGACGGTGGCGCTCGCGTGGAAGAAGTCGGAACTAAAATTGGCTTTGTAATTTTAATGTCCCGTATAAAGTGAAATAAAAATTTAAATTTGAACTATTTTTGACGCGCATGCTTCTTTTAAGGCAGTAAAAAAAATTGATTTATTTTTAAAAGAATCATACGCGTCAAAAACCAAATTTCTTATTTAAAAATATATTATTTCAATTTTAGTTCCAATTTTTGCCACTCATGCGCCACCGTCGAGCTGGAATTTAGTCCATAAAACTCGAGTATTTGAGAAAAATTTCTTTCTTTCTCCCATTATAAAAAATTGAATCATTTCTATAAAATATAAAATTTATACTATTAAGGAAAACTAGCTTTTGGGCAATTTATTTTTGAAGCGTTGCAACCTTACGAGTAAAATTTTGCTTTTCTACGGGAAAATGATGCTAAATATGGCAACAAAATGATTCTTTTACAAAAACAAATGATATTGGAGCTTGGGCGTGAATCAGACTATATTACAGATAAATATAGATAATAAAATAGGGTGAAATATTTTACTGTCATATTTATTATTTGCTCGTTAAAGAGCAAAATTTTCTCGAAAGATTGTATTACCTCAAAAATAAATAAAAGAAATTATTTTCCCAAAAAACTAGTTTTTCTTAATCTAAATAATTTCTGGGTAATTTTTTCACATAAAACTTATATTTTTTACCTTTCACTTATATTATAATATTGTTTTTTTTTTTAATATAATTATTATAATGGTTCTTATTTCAAACTATTTTGGTCTTTATTTCTTACATTTCAGCCATTCTATGTCGTCCATTACAAGACCATTCATCCCATAATGTGTTTAGTTATAGACACTATATTGTTTCCCTTCAACGAAAAATCAAATTTTATTTCGAGGAGAAATAACGATTATTTCTAACCTTAGGGATGAGGTATGAAAGGCAGGGTAGCCTAGTGGACATGGCATCTGCCCGGTAAGCGGAACACTGTGGGTTCGATTCCCATCCCTGGACACTTTTATTTTTCCGTTTATCATTACTCTTCACAATTCATCCTTTCATACCTCATCCCTAAGGTTAGAAATAATAGTTATTTCTCCTTGAAATAAATTTTGATTTTTTGTTGAAGGGAAATACTTGCGGGATAGATTTCAAATGCCGTTTTACAATCACAAGCCGCATTATATTGTACTATATTGTTTATGGGAAAATTCTTTTTTGTTCTTGAAAAAGGTGACAAAGGGTCGTTGAAAAATATCTAAAAAGTAAAGACTACGAAATAGTTCTTTAAAATGACAGACACTTCGGTCAGAAGAGTTTTTATCTTTTCGGCAAAAATATTTTGTCCTCGTTAGGAAAAAATGTTAAATTTAAGAACTGTGAATACCGGCCAGGCAACCTCTATCTTAAAAAAAATATATTTAGAAAGGTTAAAGTAAATCAAATTAATAATAGCTAGAAATCCAATATGCAAAAGTGTTTTTATTTATTTTATTTTATTTTTGAAGCGACATCATTAACATGTATTATTCAAGTTGTATGCTACAAAATGCCTAAAACAGCATTTAATTTTGTCATCGTTTTTTTTTTTTTATGTGTATCGTTTGCTCTCCCAAAATCGAGCAGAAGCCTTACTTCCTTCAAGCAGAATTTCCACAATTGAAATAATGACAAGATTTTCTAAAAAAAATTTAAAATTTTTATTTTCAGAGTTCTTTTTTTTTTTTTTTTTTCATGTTGAAGAAATCCCAGCACCTTTTAAAAGGTCAAAATTATAAGTAAAAGAAAAGGATTTTTTTAAGAGGGGCTATTTATATATATATATTGATCAAAAAAGGCAAAATTGTGGTGGGATATATTAGTTGTTTAAAATACAGAGAGAGTTCTGATTGGCCAATATATTATCTGCCTCCTCCAAACGGGAACGGGAAGAGAGTGAATATGTCGCCAAATCCACGTTTGTCCAGTTCTTCCTCCTCCTCTGTGGTCACTTCAGCTGGACACCCCGTTACATATATGTTACACAGTATGTAAATATTTTAATTTACATAACGATAAAAAATATATATTTGCATAGTTTCTTTTATAATATGATTTATAAGCATATTATATATTTATAATTGTATGTATTTCTACTGTTCCTCAAAGCTTATGTCCATAGTTCATTAAAAATACCCATTCCAAGAGTCTAGCATCAGTATCACTATAAAAGGAAAACCGAAAAAATGTAATATAACAGCGGTATGGTAGATTAAACTGGCGAAACCGCTGGGAGGGTTCACTACTGATGAGCCAGGCCCTCCCATTGATTTTTTCATTGCAGTAAGGGCAGTAGTGAAAATTGTTTAATTTTTAAAAGAATCATACGCGTCTATAATAGTTTCGAATTCTCATAGTTTCTTTTATTCAAAAAACGGAAGAATTGACCTATTTCAGCAGTTCCACCATATTCAACACAGATAATGCCATAGAAACTGCCCCCCTAACCCTCTACAGCTGAAAACTATTTATATTTGTTTTTGATTTTATTTTTGAATTTATTTTTCTGTGAATCTCTCCATTGTATTTGTATTGTACACCTTTGCGGAGCCTGTGGCCTGATGAAGCGCAACCCCGTGAAAGCTTGCCTCCCGATTTCTGAATATAAATAAATCTACAAATATTTTTATAAAGTGAAAGGATTTAAAAGCACTTTTATACATAATACAAACTTCTACTGTCCTTTCTGCGATGAAAAAATATATTGGGAGGGGTTGGCTCATCAGTGGTGAACACTCCCAGCGGTTTCGCCAATTTAATCCATCAGACCGCTTCTCAGAGCTCTAATACTGTATTGGACGATTCTGCTTATATACGCAGCACTGAAGGATGGAATCTCAGAAATGGTTTTCAAGAAAACTATGGACATAAGCTTATAGGACAGTAGAATTACATTCAAATATTTGCATCGAGCAATGCTCATCCGCAAACAATAAAGACAAGGTCAGTTATTTATATTTTTATCTTTATTTAAAAACAAATTATAAACAACTCTATTTAAAGTATGAATCAAGATGTAAATATGTATACAAAGTCATCAAAGAGCATCCCCTGAAAGTCCATGACTAACGTTGCTAAACGAGCGCCATCTACCGGAATAAATATAAATCATCTCATTATAATCTATCAAAGCACTAAATTTTTTGTATTATTTCTCTGTTACAAGCTTTCGTGACATACCCTTTTTCAAACAAAATAATAAATACGTATTTATTATCTTATTTGATGAAGAGAATCCTCCGAAAGTATATATATATATATATATATATGTCATAAAAAAAAGACGTATTCTAGTTACGTTACCAATTCATGCAGTCGTGGATGGTAAAAATGAATGATAACTTTTGTTCCAAAAAATATTTATTATTTTGATTATTTTTAAAGCAAACAGTTTTTTGCATACATACAACTAAAAATGTTATTATCTATTTTCAATAAAAGTAAAATTAGGTTGTATTCCTTTTCATTTTAAAATTTAACTCTGTGATTATAGAATTTTAATTATTTTATGAATAATAAAAATCATATTTTTATTATGTCATATATATATATGACGTAGAAATAAAAGCACGCTAAATATTTACATAATCTAGAAGTATTTACATAGTTCACACGGAAGGAATCCAGTAAGTAATATAGGGAGCCGCTGAAGAAATTTGTGCAAATTACTATTTGTCTAAATGTTTCATCTTTTTTTGTTATTTTAATTATTTTGTAACCAATTGTGTGTGACATTGTTTCAATTATCTTTCGCTTAGAAATTTAATTTAAACTAATTTTACCACGTATGTGTTTCTTTTAAAAATAAAAATAAAATCTATTGTGCCCTTTTACTGCAATGATAAAAATAATGGGAGGGCCTGGCTCATCAATGATAAACCCTCCCAGCGGTTTCGCCAGTTTAATCTACCATACTGATGAGCCAGGGCCTTCCCATTATTTTATCATTGCAGTAAGGAAAGTAGAAAATTGTTTTAAAAGAAACAAAACGCGTCAAAATTAGTTATAATTTCTCATGACAGATGTCGCGCTAATTCATTATAGAAATTAACATTTAATTCTAAATTTGATTTAAAAAAAGAACTCTTCTAAATCAAAATGTTATGAAAATACGAAACTATTATAGACGCCTATGATTCTTTTTTAAATTAAACACTTTCTACTGCCCTTACTGCAACGAAAAAATTAATGGGAGGGCCCCTGGCTCATCAGTGGTGAACCCTCTCAGCGGTTTTGCCAGTTTAATGGGAGGCTTCACCACTGATAATCTAGGCCCTCCCATTAATTTTTCCATTGCAGGAAGAGAAGAGAGAGATTGAGATTGAAACTGATTTATTATAACGTCCATATAAGATTATATAAGATTAAATACAGAATAAATATAAATAAATATGATTTAAAATGATAGATATATGAATAAATAGATATAAATAGATAAAAATAATTGATAAATATACATATATATGATAATTTAAACCAATAACCCTATATTATGTAATACGTATAACAAGCTTGTCATGTTGTATATAGAACTAATTATAAACTACAACTAATTATACGCATAATTGACGTGTGTCCTTGTATCCCCATATGTAATGTACTGAGGATGAATAAATAAAAATATATAATAGATTAAAAACTGAGTTAAGAGCAAGATTGAGAGAATCGCAAGTAACTTCTAAAGTTAGATGGAAGCCCAGACAGGCGCCAGTGTCGAATTAGCGGACACGTGCAGAAAGGCAATACTTCCTGGTTCCCTTCCTGGTCCAAAAAGTTGTATAAATAGGACCCCACGTAGCAACAGCCAATTTCAGTTCTAGTCAGTCCCGGTCAGCGTCACCCCTTGTCGCCGGTTGTCACCAACTCATCGACGATGTAAAACAGTAAGAAAACTTCTCGATCTCCATCTTTGCTCTTGGCTCGCTTTTTATCTATTCAAGGAACTTTCTTTCAACTGTGTCTCTTCGTTTTGTGTGTGTGGACATCCCAGCTTTTCCACTCTGCCTCGACCACGACTGCCTGTACTTTGTGAGAACTGTTAAAGGTCCTACAAGGTGCAGAGAGGCTACTGGAAAACTCTCCACCCCTGACTGTCCCTCGCGGTTACTACAGGTTTGACCCTCGGTTGCCACAACTTATAGCGAGAGTCGACGAGGTTCTACAACAGGCTTACCAAACCCCAACATATTATTACAGAGAGTCAACAGGATCTCAACACAATATTACAGCTAGTCGACAGGATCTCAACACATTATTACATATATATATATAAATATACAAGGTCTTCATTGGTGGCGCCCACCGCGAGAAAGACTCCGCCACCGATGGACTGCGAGAGTTCTTTCTCACAGAGTGGGCAGGTCGATGTAGTGGCTGGCATTACCCAACTGAGAAGAGAGAGGGAGGGTTGTAGAAGTTGCTTAATTTAAAAAGAAACATACGCGTCTATAATAGTTTCGAATTTTCATAACAGATGGCGCGCTAATGTATCATAATATATTAAACACTTTCTACTGCCCTTACTGCAATGAAAAAATTAATGAGAGGGCCTGGCTCATCAGTGGTGAACCCTCCCAGCGGTTTTGCCAGTTTAATGGGAGGGTTCACCACTAATAAACCCAGGGCTTTGTCATTGTTCTATCTATAGAAATGTAATATACACCAATACCTCGCTTTGCGTCGTTTCGTTTTGCGTTTTTTTCGAAGTTGCGTCGCTGCTTAATTTTTACTGATTTTCACTGTGCGTCGTTAGATTTTCGAAGTTGCGTTGTTTTGGATTCGAGTCTTTAATTTTTTTTGTTTTTCCTAAAATATGGCAACACCTTTGTTTTTGATTGCGCCTTCACATATTTTCACTTTGCGTCGTGTTTTTTTGGAACGTAACCCCGACGCAAAGCGAGGTATGGGTGTATAAAATAATACCAAACGATTACTTACGAAAAGCGTAGATCTGCAGAACAACACTTGCAATCAGAA